ACTTCAGATAGCTTGGTGGTTAGCATGAATTGACGCTCAGCAAGCTGCCTGCTCATTTCTTCAGATTCTCTCCCCAACCTTGACCAGCCAGCTTCCCTTTCCCCTCCCCCACAGGCTTTACTATATCACAACCTGGAGGCGCCAGTAGGTTACTGTTTATCCCTAGAAGACCAACTCAAACATACCCTCTTTCTTAGAGGTTTTCTTCAATTTACACAAGGCTATTAGTCACAGCAGCTCTCATGATTTAATATAGTATGTGTCCAATTCCACTAAACTATATCAAACTGCACTGGAACTATCTGAAAAAAAAAAATCGGTCCCTCTCTAAAGCAGGTAGAGAACAAGCAGAGTGCAAGTGTCTTGACAGCAGGAAAGATAACTACAGTCACTGGAAGTCCCCCTCAATCTACAATAGAAAGATTAGTATACACACATTAGAGCAGGTGCTTTGTCTAAAAGTTAAGGTGCTGCCTGGGATACCCTGGTTCAAGCACTGGCTTGTTCTTAATTCCAGTTTCCTGTTTCTGTGCAATCTGGAAGCCAGCAGATAAGAGACAGGTGGCTGGGGCCCTACTAACCACATAAACCACCCAGAGTTCGTGGCTCCTGACTTCAGCCTGGTCCAGCCAAGATAGTTTAGGACATTTCAGGGAGTAAATCACTGGATTCTCTCTCTTTCTCTCTGTCTCTCTCACTCCCCATCACGCATTTTCTGTTTGTCTCTCCTTCTGTGTCTCCCTCCAGACCTCCATGTCTTTCTCTTTCCTTCCCAAATACATTAAATAAACACGATTTTAAAAGATAACCAAATTCTGGACAAAACTAGCTAACTAACTAAATAAATTCATTAATTAATGAGAAAAGGTAGTGAGCATATAAAAATAGAAATTCTGGGTCTGGTACAATGGCCTAGCAGCTAAAGTCCTCGTCTTGCATGCTGGTTCGTATCCCAGCTGGTCCACTTTCCATCCAGCTCCTTGCTTGTGGCCTGGGAAAGCAGTGGAGGACTGCCCAAAGCCTAGGGACCCTTCATGTATGTGGGCGAGCCAGAAGAAGCTCCTTGCTTCTGGTTCTTGCCTTTGGATCTGCTCAGCTCTGGCTGTTGCAGACACCTGGGGAGTGAACCAGTGGATGGTCGAGCTTTCTCTCAGTCTCTCTGTAAATCTGCCTTTTCAATAAAAATAAATAAATATTAAAAAATTATGCCTTCTGTTACATTTAACCATGAATTTTAATTTTAATATTATTTTAGTATGAACTTAGTTTTTGAGGTATTCTCAGTAATCTTTAAGTTTGTGATGGTTTTCATGCAAAATTTTTTTTTAAAAAAACCATTCATAATTTTTGAGGATCTCTCAGATGCTCCATCCCTATGGCTAGTCTTACCCATAAGATCACATCAACGGAATATGGCATACGACCTTTTGAAACCTTCTAAATTCTGCTGTGTTATAGCAGTGCCACTAATACTCAGGTGGACGAATCACAGCTCGTTAATCCTTTTTTCTACGAAGAATATGCAGGCTATTTACACTTTTGTGCTGATTATTAATGTGTCTGCTTGACAACCAATAATAGTTTTGGAGTGACTATAAATTTCATTAATTTAGACCAAATTAAAACATGTAGGAGTGGGATTACTGGATCATAATAAAAGTGTAACTTCATAGGGAATTGCCCATGTGACATTCTGAGCCACAGTCTATGCCCTCTAAAGCCGTCCTGACCCGTGTCTTCTGCGTTCCCAGCAAGTGACATCGCCCATTTTGATTAGTGTAGTAATATCAAGAAGCATGGAGTACACTTCCCTAATGTCAAGTGATTTCATGTTCTTGGACTGTTCAATTTCAGTTGAAACTTTTTGTCATTGGTCTGTTACTGATCTGTTCAAATTTAGCCTATTTGAAGAAGTAGGATTTGTTTTCGTTGCTAAGTTTTGAGAACGATTTATGCGCTCGCTCTCTGAGTTCTTCTTGGGATATATGATTTACAAATACTTTCTCCTACTTTCTTGATGATGTCTGTGAAGAGTCAAGGTTTTTAATTTTCACAAAACCTAATCAATCCATTTTTGTTTCATTGATTTTGCCCACAATGTCCTATCTATAAATGCTCTCTCCAACATAAGGTCATGCAGATTTTCTCACATGTTTTCTTTGAAAAGTTTCAACATTTTTTGCTTCACACTTAGCTCTATGATTCATTTTGAGTTAAATTCATTTTGAGTTAAGTTGTGACTCATAGGTTGAAGCCAATTTTCTCTATGGATGACTGTCCAACCATTCCAATACCATTTGTTGAAACTACTTTTTACTACTGCATCTGTTATATCCTGCAACTTGGCTAATTCTACTTAGCTTCATCGGGTTTTGGCAGTGGTGGTGGTGTTGATTCCTTGGGATTCTCTACACAGAGATAATATCAACAGAAATAGCAAGTTTTCCTTTTTATTTTAATCTGTTTGAATTCTACTTCATTTTGCCCTCATTGCATTGGTTAGTACTTTTAGTATGACGTTTATTAACAATATTAATGGCAACTATCCTTGTGCTTCCTATCTTTAGGAAAAGCTCATCAGTACCTCATACCTCATCAGTAAGTATGATGTTCCTTGTAGGTCTTTTATCATAAGTTCCCTTCTACCTCTGGTTCACTGAGAAGTATTTTTTTGTGTGTGTTTGATTTTTTTCCTATCCCCTCCTCTCCCTACATCCTGTCAGGTGACTAGCTGTGTGCACTGGGCAATGCTCTATTTTTGCTTCCATGACAGAAAGGCAAATAACAGGTTAAGTCACCAGCTGTGACACCATCATTCCACATGAACGCCAGTTTGTGTCCTGATTGCTTGGTACAGTTCCCTGTTGATGGTCTGGGAAAAGCAGCAAACTATGGCCTATTTGGACCCCTGGAAGCCATGTCAGAGACCCAACTGAAGTTACTAGCTCCTGGTTTCAAGTTGGCAAAGACTAGGCCATTGTAGCCATTTGGGAGAGGGAACCTGTAGATGGATAGATGGACGAATGGACAGACAGACCACGTTCTATGTGTGTAGAAATCTAACTTTCAAATGAATATATAAATCTTTTTTTAAAGAAAAATAAAAAAACCACACTGGCATGTTCTGAATTATCAAAGGATAAACATATCTGCATGTATGAGTGCATGTATGTGATTAAGATTCCACTACATCTCACGAAGGAAAGATGACATGCATGTCACTAGGATAAACAGAGCAAAACATCCACACATTCAGGGTATTTTCTATGGATACTTTCTAAATAAGCCTAGGTAACAAGCTCATCACTAGATTTAGAGATTGTTTTAACTACAGAAAACCAGATTTTGAAGAACTCAGCAAGTGAAAGAGAACTAATATATCCTATACTTTAACCTAAGTACAGTTCATGACATTTGTTCCTATTATATTTCTGCCTCCCTTTATTCAATTCTTGAATTCTGACAATAGGCCAGGAACTGTTCTGTATTTTTTTTTTGCATTTTTAATCTCATAAAATTTCACAGCAGTCCTATACCCAGATTTGGACCAGTATTTTTCTTTTTAACTTGGATAAAATAAAATGAAACTCAATATAAGAAATTACTTGAGGAGAAAAGGAAAGAAGCTTTCCAGCAAGTAGAAAAGGATGTGCTTTGAGCAGGAAATCATGGAACCTGAAAAGGCATTACCAGAAGGTTTAGAAAAAATGATTCTTGCACTATGCAACGAGCTAGACAATCCAAAAGGTTTCCCCCAACTCTGAAATACCATTCATCACCTCAGTTGTCATACATGGTTTGAAAAGATAGACATAAAGCAAAGCCAAGACAGCGGTTGTCCCAAAAACTGGTCTGCAAGTCACTTTCTAAGGCTGGCACTGGGTCCTCCTGCTGTCTCATCAGACCCCTTCCTATCCTGCATTCCATTCTTCTCCCAGTTTCTCAGCAGTGGGAATCAACAATGGAATTCAGATTCCCAGCTTTACCACTCCGATGGTCGTTGACTTGGGGTATATACCATGATTTTCCTAAAAGTCAAATAGCTATTCTTCTAAGAATAAAACAAAACAAAAAAGTCTGTGGGTCATCCCTGCATGCCTCAGAGACTTATGAACATCCCAAGATCAAACCAGAGAACCAGAACCAGAGTGTGGGAGAGAAGGAGCACCCCACAGAGTTTCAGATACAGGGTAACAAGCACTGCCTACCTTCTAATTATTTGGAAAACAAACAAACAACAAATAAAAAAACCCAGACAAATAAAATGTATCCCCCTAAAATGCACGTATCTGGTATGTGTGTCTGGTTAACCACAAATAAAAGTTTTCCCACAGAGAAGAACAGCTAAGTACAATCAACTCTGGGATGGGTAAATTGTCTGATGCAAGACACTAAGTAATGGGTCAAATGCGGTGCAAGACGCACTTAGCCACACAATGTACAAAGGCAGTCCCATGTTCAAGACCCTGGGCTTCCACCCCAGGGCAGAACCCCTCCTTCACCATTCTGTCTCCAGGGCCTAAACAGGGGCCAGTGCATAGTACAACATTCCTAAGTAGCACATAAGTGGGTGATAAGGAATTTTCCAAATCCATGCTCAGTTAGTATTTTTGGTATGCCTGTCTTTATAACAGGTCCATCCTTTAAAGCGGGCAGCCCCCTGCAATCCACCAAACAAATGTGAAAGACAAGGATGAGCAATGAACCTCCTTATTTGAATTACGCTTAAGATGTCAAGGACATTACTAACAGGAGCCTCAGAATTCGTCACATTAACTCACATCCCCAGACACTTCATTCCTGAGGGTTTATTTCAATGAAATGTCTCCCTTGGGACCAGAAGTTTTCCCCTCACCTCCCCCCAGCTCAGGAAAATATAAATGTCTAAGGCACAATGGAGCTCAGGGCTTTTCATCTTTCAAAGCCATTAAAATGCAAATGGGGAGGAGGAGGAGAGAGACCTGCAGGCAGATCTCCCTGGACCTAGCCACAGCACTCACATCCATCTGCCGTCCGCACCTCCATGTGCACCAGATCTGCCTCCTTATCCAATCCAGCCACCGACCTGGGGAAGGAAAGGAGAGACAGAGGCTCAGTGAGGACATGGCCAGCAGACAGCACAAAGGACAGTACTCAGGGCCAACTGGTACATGGGCATCCTGCACTGTGTGACTTCCCTCAGGAACTGTCACCTGTGATGGTTCACAAAACATGAGCAGTGGAGTAGTGTCAGTCAGCAATTCTCACCCTTCCGCCCCTGCCAAGCCAAACCAAGCAAAAAAAACACAACAATGTGAAACAGAAATAAGTGCTATTCTAAACTTTGGCTCTTGCCCCTTCTCTGCCATTTTTCACTTTCCCAGCGCTTCTGGCTTCCCCATGCTCTCCCACTGATCTCCACAGCCCTGAAACTCTATTAATAAAGTCCACCATGACCCCCTTTGCCCTTTCAATAAGAAGACACTATTTCTCCCTCTGTAGGATGTACATTAAGGCATTCTTGTCCTTTTGAGCATGTTATCCTCCTTTCCATCCTGTTGCTTTTGAATGTGAACAAACATCCAAAAGATGGTCATGCAAGGGCAAAATCCTCATGGTAACTGGGGGTGGGAATTCATGAAGGCCTCTGAGCAATGGGTAGGAAGAGGATGGCTAATAATCCCTGCCTTGTGGACCACGACCCTATCCATGTTAGACTCAGTTGGTTGTCTCTTGAACAGAATATACAGAAAGTCAACTAATGATCTAATACGTTCATTAAATGTTTGGTGCATTGAGTTAGCCCACTGTCTATGATTCCAGCATCCCGTATGGGCACCACTTCCAGTTCTGTTGCCTCCACTTCTGATTAAGTTCCTGGATAACACATCTAGGAAAGCTGCAGAGGATTCCCCAAGCCTTTATACCCTTGAACTCACTTAGTAGACCTGGGTGGAGTTCAGGGCTCTTGGTTTTGGTCTAGCACAGTTCTGACTATTGCAGCCGTGGCTCAAAAGATGGAAGCTCATGCAATAGAGAATGCAAAATCCACTCCCTCCAAAGCTCTTATTCATAGTCTATTTATTCTAACTTTAGATACCATTTTAAGATTGGATTTCTGGTTTTCCAATCTTCAATAGAAAGAAACAGCAAGTAATAAAGAGAAAGCTGATTAACGGTAAGAACCAACAGCTGATATCTATACAGCAAGAAAAATAGAAAACCCATGAAAAATAGGCCTAAAAGCTCAAAACCCAATCTTCCACACTATAAACCCCTATGACTCTCAACAGACCTGGGGATATACCTATGTAATAGCTTGGTATCTATATTGCAGAGCTAGAAGCATAGAAAAGAAAAGCATAGACTAATGGCGTCCATTGAACTCTGTTTAAGAAACTGGAGTTGCAAATAATACAGTTTGGGAAAAAAATGATATTTTTATTAAAGTAAAATGATTTCTTCTTGAAAGGTCAAACCTGTTATCTAAAATGTTAATTTATATAAAAGCTTCTCCAAAGAGGCTCAATAAATGAGGCTTTACTCAAAGGGGTCACTTTTCTCCAGCATATCACTAATATAATTTTTGTTTTGCTTCACCTCATTTAATCCTAACAGCAAAATCCTATAGTAAGAACAGGCATCATTACTCATATCTCACTTAGGGAGAAACTGAGGCACACGGAAACGATTGCTTTTCTAAAGCCACACAGGGACAAGCCTAGAAATAGAATTGTTCTGACTCCCAGCCTTAAGCTGCTCCAATATGCTTATTCAGCTATCTCTGGGGCCCTCCTTATCAAGGTTATTCACCCCTGCCACGAGCTCATTTTCCCACAGCTTTCAGCAGAATCTTCCTTCTTTCATCCCACTCAAGTGCCCTTCTCTGTTCAGACTCTTTACCTCAGTGATTCTCAAACTCGCTGCTCATCCCATTGGGAAAACTTTGAAATGCACAAATGTCTGGGTCCTCCTCCTGAAACCAATAAAGCTACCATCCCCGAGGAAGCAATCAAGGAAGGCATCAGTGTTATTCTTAAGCTCTTAAGGATTTCTGTGTGTAGGGAAGTTTGGCAATCATAGTTTTGTAGGACTCAATTGCATCACTGACAAAACTGCAACTCACTTTTGTGTATTTTCTATTGGCTATAGACTTAAAAAGAAGAAGGTCCATGTCTTCGTTATTTCTGAACCACTGACACCTATAGCCCTAGTGTAGATTTTGTGCTATTTTTGTGTTTATGGAATTAATAAACTATCCAGTATACCTGAGATAATGTCACAGCTTCAATGTGAAACACATCTGAGGTCAGACATACAATGAACTAAAGCACCAGAAGGTGCCTTCCCAGTTGTGTAACTTCCCTGTGGTGTTAGAAGCAAGTTGCTATTCTCAGAATGAAAGGCTTCAAAAGGGCTTCTCCATGGTTACTCACAGAGCAGCATAGACAACCCGGAAGAAAAATGATCAAGCTTGGTTCTGCTCCTCAAAGGCTGTACTCTATGAATATAGGAAGAAAGGCTCTCTTCCTTCATTCTGAAACTCTCACATACCTGAGCCATCTGAACTCTCACACATCCACCACAGCTGAAACTCAGAATCAAGTCTTCCTGGAAACACCCTGGTCACTGATGTTCACACTGACTCATCCTCTCCTCCTCCTTTTCTTCTCCTTCTCCTCCCCTCCTCTCCCCTCCCTTGTGATCCAGCATGGTCATGACAGATCATGGCTAGGGCGACCAGGACACGCCAGGACCACAGAAAATTTCTTTAACTGGGGCTGGTAGAAAAGCACTGTTTTTGTCTTTGGCATCTAAGATTATCATTTCCAGCTTCCCAGGAATCGACTCTAAATGTTGCAGGTCCTTATAGAGAAAGAAAAGTGACAGCATGACAGGGAGACGGGGAAAGATGGAGGATAGTGGTCAAGAGAGAAAAGACAGTGATTGAGAGAAACAGAAAGAATAAGTAGGAAGATCATATATGCACACACACACACACACACACACACACACACACACACACGAGTCCAGAGTCAGGGATTCACACAGAGAAATGTATAGTTACATAGCTACACAATCAATTGTTTCTCACCCCATCCCGATTATTCAGCCTGCTCACAGAAGCCCACCTGGTGCCTTTGTCTGTATATTTACCTACTTGATCCACTAAGCACAACTAGGATGATTCCTATTAACATATGACTCATCTGATAGTAACCTTCTCCAAGGCTGAGATTCTGATCTCTTTCTCCAAGATTTGCCACCATACAAAACTCAGGTTTAGGCATACCTCTGAATTAAAACAGATCTATCAGGTTCATCCCCCAAGGCTGGTCTGCCCCTGAGTACACACGCAAAGCGATGACACCACTCAGTTGGTCAGAGGTTGAGCAAAAATAATGTGAGTGCCACAGACCAGGGAAATATTGTCCACTGCAGAGTGAACTGTTCTCAGGTCTCTATCCAGGGCTCAGAGATGTCACTGCTCCCATTCCGCAGAACAGCTGGTGTTAGACAAGGATTACTCATTTCTGGCACTGTTGACTCTTGGGACCAGCAAATTCTCTGCTTTGGGGACTGCCCTGTGTATGTATTGCATTGCACTTAACAGCTTCCCCGTTCTCTATTAGATGCGGTAGTTATGCCCCTGTAGTTATGGCAACCACAACAGTCTCTAGGCATTGCTACTTACTCCCTTGGGTGGCAGGGCATAGCCACTCCTGACAGAACCATGAGTACAGCCTTCACCGCCCACATTTAATTGCTGTCTGGATTCAGTGCAGCAAAAGTAAACGTTAAGAAGCTGCCTATCCTTGCCAGGTGCAAATCCCAACACTGCTCAGAAGTCTGTGAACTGAAGGTCACCCATCTCACCAGGAAGCTAGCCGGCTCTCCAACAAGAGAGCTATTACACCCTCATCTTCAAGTCCCAGGTTTTTACTTCTAGAAACTGATCTTAAGGAAAGTACAAACAAATATAACATGCAAAGAAATATAAAAAGCAAACATTTGACATTTTTTTGAAAGAAGGAACTTGTAGGTCATACAGACATATTTGTAGAAATGTTTGAGAAGTGCACAGATTCATGATAGGGAAATGTTAACGGATGTCTAGACCATTCCTGTCTCAGGCATTGTGTTTGGTGTTTATAAGGGTCATCTCGATTCATCTTCAAAATTATTGTTTATGGAAGACAGCAGTCATCTATTATGGAGGTCATAAGGGAAATGAAGTCAGGTGGAAAAAGTCACATGATAATACTAACTCATAGATCCTGAGAGAATACTAATAGAACTCATTAGTAATACTAATAGAACTCATCGTTCTAAGCATAAACACTGAACTCCTTTACTTCCCACACTAGCTACATGAGCCGTGCCTGTTTTTAAAGGGTACAATCAAATACTGAGAAACTCATCAAAAACATGCATTCATGGATCAGCAAAAGTAGGATGTAAAGTAAGAAAAGAAGATAGCTTTGAGTTTTGAGCTTAGATCTCCTGCTAGCTGTCTCTTCTAAGAGAAGGAATGGTATTCTTGCACAACCATCTCTCCCAGTTGAGGGACCTAGCTACCATTCTTCAAGGCCTCCATACCCCTCACATATAAATCCCTTTAAGACAGTATTACAGAAAACATTATATAAACATTTTCAATATCACACAAAATATTGCTGTGATATGATGAACCGGGCTCATTTATGTTGGTGGTGATAAATAAGAAGGAAATGCTGAGATGACAAAAAGGAGGTTGGCCTGATGCTAGAAGAGCAGTGAGTGGAGATTTTCACACACACACAAAAAAATCTTCAGGAAAGATAAGCACCGCTGGGGGGAGAGGGGTCAGGAGAATGGGGACTTGGCTATGACTCTTTTGATGTCTGAAAGGATAGAATAAGCCAAGATGTATAAGCAGGGCTGTGGGGTGAGAGCCATGCCTACTCTGATATACCTCCCTGGAGCCACTTCCATCTCATGCATCCAATTCCCTCCATAGTTTCAGCATTCAAATTAGGCCAGATTTGAGCAGAGGGCCAAGAATAACACCCCGTTTAGAACAGCCAAAGGACAGATACAACTCCC